AACAAACAACACAGCCCCCTCCTCTTTTCCGTGCCCCCCCACTCCTGGCTTGGCCTGCTCGAAAGGAACTCTCCTTACCAGGCGGCAGAGGGGGAGGTGTAGGGGGGGGCGTGGTGGGAGGGCCACCCGGCTGAAGCTCCTCCTGGAGGGGACCGGACGGAGGACACAGTTTGCATTCCTCTGCAGCCCTGGAAGGGGTTAAACCCGCGGAGCCTTTTGCTAGAGAGGCCGCTTCTTTGCTGTGCCGCAGGATTGTTCTGTGATCGGCACCTCCCCCCTAACCACAGGACCTCAACGGGACGTCTGATTGCACAGCCTGCGTTATTTTGCTCCGGGGCAAACAGCCATGCTCCCCCCCGCGCATTTCCCCGTGTGACTGGGACCTTAGTTGTGTTGGGGGGCCTGAGAAGGGCCAAGGCTACAGCTCTGGGGATGGAAGGGGTTAGCTAAACAACCCCCCCAATTTCCCTGATAAAAAAATGGGTAACCCCTCAAATGGTTCACACTGGGATATGGGGCAAAAGCCAAGAATTCTACAGGTATTGTCCTTCCCCCCCTTTTGAGGCTTAACTGCTGCTTGAAGGGCCATTTTTTAATCAGGTAAGAAGCAGGGTGGTGTGATGAACTTCCTTTCCTAGGGTTGTCAACCTCCAGGTGGCACCTGGAGATCTCCTGCTATTATAGTTGCTCTCCAGACGACCAAGATCAGTGAAGAAAATGGCTGCTTTGGAGGGTGGACCCTACGGCATTATCTCCGCTGGGGTCCCTCCCTTCCCCAAACCCACCTTCTCCAGGCTCCACCCCCAAAATCTCCCAACTCAGAGCTGACCACCCTATCCTTTCCTCAACATTACGGTGCCGATTCATATTGGACAACCCCTCTTTCACAGCTCATTTTAGGGACAAATGTTGTGAGACCCTCATTACACGGGGAGCAGTACTTAGAGTTCCAAGCTCTGAGGCGATTTCCTCCTACCCATTCTGCTTCCGTTGCTCCCTCTCCAATTGTGAGATGATCTCTCTCTGTTGGCTTTTGCGTTCCTTTTGCTGTTCCTAGCGTTTAAGGAACTGTTCAGGCTGTTTTGATTGCATTATTGATTCTAATGGTAATTTCGGTTGCTTTTGTGGGTTATTGCTGATTTTATATGTTTTTTTCCTGAAATTTGTTAGGATTCTTATTGGGACTGAAAGCGGCTTGTGTGTTCTGAGAGTGCCAGTGTCAATGCTCCAGATAAAAACAGTAAATAGGCATAAAATAAAAGAACCACTAGAATCAGAGAACGAGCTATGAATTAATTAAATTCGTAACAGTACAGGAAAGTGTGTATGTATACAATTATTACAGAAATACAAAATTAATACATAAAAATGTGTAAAACAAATAACAGTAAATATAATGCATTTGTAAAGTAAAAGTGTTAATTCAACTTTCTCAGATTTCTGGAGACAGTAACAATTTTTTTTTCAATCCCATATAACAGCTATAGAATACGCATAAATGAACAATAAATATCCTAAAATATCCATGACAGTAAACTAAACTGCAACTGAAAAAAAGGCTAATCAGCAAGGCGGTATTAAAAAAAAATTAAAACCAGTTAGCTCCCCCCAAAAAACAAATTTAAAAGCTAATTGATAGAATACCGTGACAAAATACAACTTAATAGAGGTATAAAAGCAAGGCCGATATCAAAACCATATATAAACCATTCTATAAAAGAGGTATCACTGTATTCTGCAAGGAGAAAGCTGACGGTTCCTGTATAGAGTAGTAGGCTTGGTGGAGAGCACAACCAGAATAATAGCGGCAAAAGAGTTGCACAAGTTTTGCTGTATGGAAATGCAGGGAAATCAAAGCAAGCCCCAAAGTCCCATGTTTGCCATGTATTAGAGGTGACTCAAATGCTGCATCTGCACAGCATCATTTAAAGGTGGTCTTACACAGCTGCTGAAGCAGCATCACAGTCTGATATGTTGATAGATTCAAGTGGGGCAGCCGTATTGGTCTGAAGCAGCAGAACAAAGTTCGAATCCAGTGGCATCTTTAAGACCAACAAAATATATTCAAGGTATAAGCATTCGTCTACATGCACACTTCTTCGTGCTTGCACACAAAAGCTTTAATAAGATTTTGTTGATCTTAAAGGTACCACTGGACTCGAACTTCAGTTTGATACGTCGACATCCCTTTTATTTTAAAGCTCATATGCCTTACCGGGGTGGGGGTGAGAACCAAGCCTGCATGTTTGTACTTGAAAGTTCCACCAAATCATGGAACGAGCCTAGTCTGCAAATGCAACATTTGGACGTCGTTTAAAAGGTAAAAGCTTTTGGCGATAGAATCTTATTCTAAGAAACCAGTGCTTATAACTGCTGGATGAAAAACTAAACACCTGTAAGTTTTCACTTTTTAACCATGTGCTACAAGGGGAGGGGGGATTAAGTCACAATGGTTGTTTTGAGTTTTGACAGGGTCTGAAACCGTTCCCGCCCCCCCCTTCCTGCGAGCAGGGCACTGTGCCTTTAAGAGACTCCCGGGCCTTCCCAGACTGGCATTCATCTGATGGCTCGGGACAGCTGCTCCTTCTCTCCTGCTTTCTATCAGTTTGACCTCTAAGGCTGGAACTGTCACTGAGGGGCTTAAAGTTTGTTTTTCAACCCATTCCGGAAACTCACAATCTCATACTTTATCCGTGGATTTGCTTAAATATAGAAAAATGCCCTGTCTCTCTCTCTCTCTCTCCCTGGTGAATGAAATAAATACATGGCTGCTCTGTGGTGGCGGAGGCAGCGGGGGTGGGGAGGCCATGTAATGTGGCGTCCACTTACAAGTACATTCATGGCAGACAGCTTAGGAGCTGCCTTTCTCCTGGGCTGCGAATTAGTGTTACATAGAATACACTTCTGCTTTGGGGAGCAGAGGGAAACCACATGGTTGAATTCCAAGGCCAAATCCGAGATCTCTCGAACGGTCTCAATGCCTTTTGCCTTTGAAGGGGAGCCGGGTCTACAAAGAGCAGCCCCTTTAACTGCAAGCAAGGGGGGAAAAAAACAGCTTGAAAGTCACATCAGTCCCAGGGCAGAACCTTGGCTTACGTGTTGTATCTTGCAAATTAGGAACAATGTCAGATTTCAGACTGTTTGCCCTGAGAAATCCTCATTCGATTTTCTTCCTTTGTCATGAGAACTGTGAACGCCGTGATTGTTTCGTGCCACTTTCTTCTTCCCTGCACCGAATGTTCGCATGAAATGTGCCCATGTTTTTCGACAACGTTTTTGCATCGATAAATTAGTATTACTCATTATACATAAAGTAAATATGTAAGCAACATACATTATATCTACCCATTGCAAACTAAAGCTATACAGCATGTGTACCCAGTGCAAAGGAATCTGCAAAAACAACAGCGAGATGCAGAGAACTGAAACCACTGACGAAAATGTAAACAGACACATAAAAAGAAGAGAACCAAAGAGCACTTGCTCATCCCTTCTGCAAATCTAAAACCGGTTCCGTAAGGAAGCTCCAGCACTGGGGCTTTGTGTGAGGGCTGGGGATTATCTGTCAGAGATCTCTATGTTCCCCACCCTATGCAATTCCCAGGATTCCTTATAGGAAAGTAGTTTAAATGGGTTTGGGTGTATAGTGTCCATATGACCTTAGGGAGAAGGTTGTGGCTCAAATGACAGAGAACATGCCATGCCGACATAGAGACCTCTACGTATCTTTACTCCCCACCACCACCACCCACGTGCATAAACTAGCAACTTTGGAAACTAGCTCCCAGGTTTACTGCTGTTGACCTCAGATAACCATTAGTGTCTCTCTCATTAGTGCGTTTCACCACCCTGGCTCCCTACAGAGGTGAAAGTAAGCGGGTATGGATTAGTGCGCAGTACCGGTGCCAAAGTGGTACTTCTCACCTTCTGCTTCAAGCCCCTGAAGAAAGACACAGCCAATAAGAAATTGGCTCCTTATACACCCAGCTCCAACTGAGCTCTCCACTGCCGGCTGCTGATTGCCAACTCAGAGGCTGGAGAGAGGGAGACAAGGGAGACACAGGTACCCTGTAACGTCTTGCCTCGACCTTCACCGAGGATCCCTTCCCAAAGTACCTTTTTTATTTGGTAGAGAATGCTGCTGCAAGAATTTTGACTGGACTGTGTTGTAGGGACTCCATCACTCCAGTTTTGTTCCTTCTACACTGGCTTCCAAGATGCTTTCGAGCCCAATTCAAGGTTCTGGTATTGACCTTTAAAGCCCTATGCAGTTTGGGACCAGCATACTGTAAGGACCGCTTACTCTCACATGAAGCTACCATGACAATTACAGTCATCTTTGAGGGCCTTGCTTTGGGTGCCCTAGTCAATGAAGGCGAGATGTGTGGCAAATGGAGAAAGGGCATTCTCGGCTGTGGCCCCAAGGTCATGGAATTCCTCCCCCAGGGTGACTCATCTGTCCCCCTTTACCATCACTTTCTGCCGACGGCTGATGTCCTTTTTGTTTCATTCGGCTTCTCCTTGTTGACACTCCTTCCTGTTTATGTTTTTAATTGTTGCTTTATAAATATCTGTGTATCGTGTTAAAATATGGATTTTAATGTTTTTTAACTATTTGCTGATTTGACAACTCACATTGGGGGTAAAGTCAGCATTAAAATGTTTTAAATTTAAAACAAAATTAATTGTATTGATATTTTTGCTCAGCTTTCCAGTTAATTTCCAAGTAAATACATAAAGATAGACTGGTGTAATTAATAGTTAGTTGGAATTGGGCTGGGGGTGGGCCTAAGTGCCTACGTTTGCTGAGTATTTATTTAAGTACTTCTGTCTCCCATTGTCCCCGGCTGCCTCCAACGCCACTGGTGGACCTCCTGATGGCACCTGGTATTTTTGGCCACTGTGTGACAGAGTATTGGACTGGATGGGCCATTGGCCTGGTCCAACATTGGCTTCTCTTATGTTCACCTATTTCTCCCCTACCCACCGTCTCTTTTCAGATTACCCAACTCAAGATTGCCAGCAACCCTTTTGCTAAAGGATTCCGGGACTGTGATCCAGAAGACTGGTAAGGCTGGTCTTCCCTTCCTTCCACTGCTAAGGTCCTGGTTGGGAACAGCTCAAGATATGTCCCTGCAACACAAACATTTTTTAAAAATTTTTTTAAAAATATCTTTATTTATAACATTTTTTGAAGTATAAACATGGTCAGAGTAGAACACAAAAATGACTACAGCAAATTACAAGTGACCATTACATGTAGTAAAATACAACTTTAGCGTTCTGTGCGCTCATCACCCAGACATGATTGCACTTAAGCAGCTTCCATTTTCTTCAGGGGAACTGATCTTGGTCGTCTGGAGATTAATTGTAATAGCAAGAGATCTCCAGGTGCCATCTGGAGGTTAGCAGCCCTAAAGCTAGGCCCAGGTGCTTAAAAAGTTCAGTCAAAGGGAGAACCTTCCATACAGCAGAATGCCACTATATTTGCCTGAAATTATTAAAACTCTTTGAATCAGAACTTTGTACTACTTTGTACTAATTCCACAATAAGAAGTAGATCAAGTATAAGACTCACTTACCTTTTGCATGACTCATAATTAGTTTAGTTTTAGACATTTTATAATTATAATTATTGTTAAACTCTTCTCCTTTAAACATTTTAATGATTTTAAGGTTATATGTCTAAATATGTCAAAATATTTCTGGAGCTGAAAGCTAATTTGCACATTAACAAATTTGTATATTTTGATAAATGGTCCTTGAATGCAAATAAACATAATTCATACTTTGTACCAGGGCTATTTTTGGGCAGGAACGCACAGGAACGGAGTTCCGGCTGGCTCCTGAGTTGGCCACGCCCAGCAGGAACTCATTAGCATAATAGGCCACACCCAACAGCAGGAACTCATTAGGACTGGCTACAGTAGGGGTGTGTGGCCTAACATGCAAAGGCGTCCCTGCTACAAAAAAAGGCCCTGGGTTTTGACAACAAAGTAAACAGAAGAAGAAGCAAAAGGTGGGTGTGGCTGGTTGAGCACACTTCTGGTAACATGGGGGTGTGGCCGAATATGCTAATGAGCTGTGTTGTCAGGGGGTGCGGCCTAATATGGTAATGAGTTTCTGCTGCTGGGTGTGGCCTATTATGCTAATGAGTTCCTGCTGGGCTTTTTCTGCAAAAAAAGCCCTGCTTTGTACTACTAGCTTATTGGCACAGAGCCCTTCACTGTTTCAAGCAGTGCCACAGCTTACCTTTAACAGGAACTTTTATGTTGCTCTTCTGTGTCTGGCTGTTGTTGTTTTTTTTACTGTACAACAGTGAAATTGGACCCAAGGGCAGAACCTGACTTCTTCAGAAGTGTAGATTCCAGTGAAAGAGGAAAGCTGAATTCCCTTTCTAGTCTTGTTTTCTTGTTTCAAAATAACCAGGGAGGAGGCTGTGGATAAGACTTTCAGGCCATGAGAGTTTGGGTTTCTGTTAGCACACACCTCCCAATTTAGCTTCTCCCCTTCCGGTTCATACTGGCATTTTTACAGCTAGATAAAAAGGACCTTGCAAATTGAGCAAAATCATGCAAATGTGTGTTAACTCGCTTGATTGATTTGGCGTGCAAAATGTTGGGTGTGTTCAGTACAGGTTTTGGAGTTGGGGTTTGGAGATCTGGGGGTTAAGCCCAGGCTTTGTGTTTTCCTTGCCTAAAGAATTCCAGGAGACAAGCCCAGGGAGAAACTTGCTGCCTTCATGCCTTGCTTTTGGATTTCCTGGAGAGAGATATCTATAGCCACTGGTGGAAACAGGATACTTTTAAGCTCTTTATGCTGCAAACAACATTGTTGGAAACTTAGCTAATTGGGAAAGCAAGTTATTTCTGAGACAGGAAAACAACCTATCAAGTCATATTCTTGCTACCACAAATGAATTCCATTAACTGGTTCCAGTGAATGCCTGTCCAAAGAACAACCACATGCAGAACACAGGGACAGGGAATGAACCATCGGAACAGCGTGAGGCCATACACCAAGCCCAAAGTAGTCAGTATGTGGGAAGAAATCACATTTCTCAAGCATATAAAGAGATTAGCTTCAGCCTACCATAGAACTTTCAGGAATTCCTAGAGAGGTGTGATGTCACTTCCAGGGTTTCCCCGGAAGTGACACAGTGCTATTAGCCCAACGTCCATTTTTTAAATTTTTCTTCCACTGTCACTCCAAGAGGAAGCAGGAAATGAGAGGTGGGGACAGGGGATTCCTGCTTCCAGTTTCTACCAGCTATGGGTTTTCATTCCCTAAGCCTTCCATTCCTTTCAGTGTAGTCTATAAGGATATATAAATATGCCATCTTTCATGTCTTTGTACATCGTCGTTGCCCCTGTTTTAAATTGCTGCAGTTCCGTGTTTGTTTTCTTGTATGCCATTCTTTTGCCATTTTCCACCATTTTCCACCATTTTTAAGCCATTGATACATAACTAACCCCCTTTCTCGGCAGGTATACTTTTTGATGGTAATAATTCTGTCCAATTTTATTAGTAGGATTAGTTGCGGGGGGGACGGGGGACGGGACACTATGGTTTCATTCCAAGAAGCAAGAACCGATGCCAGAACCTGGGTTTTAAGATAAAAATGTATATATTTATTTATGGAAATATTTATAGCCCTTCTTTCCTTGTGGTTCAAGGTGGCTTACGAGAATAGCTAAAAACATTTTCAGTTAAAACCAAAAATAAAATAGCAAGCCCGAAATCTCTCCCCCTCCCCCTCTTAAAGATGCTGGCTGTTCACACCCCCTCAAAACCCCTGGCAACAGGCATGTCTTGTTTGTATTCCTTGACAGTGTATTCTCAAGATTTGGTAATTTCTCTCCTGTAATTTGTTGTGGTTGCTCTTTTCCCCTGTTTTAGGCCCAGAAACCACAGACCTGGGGCCCTGCCTCTCATGAGCGCTTTCGCCAGGTCCAGAAATCCAGTATCTTCCCCCGTGCATCAGAATGGCAGTGAGAAAGGTGAGTTTGTATTGTACAGGTAGAGAATAGAATGTATTCACTGCAGCAAGGTGGGAAAGTATATAGAATCAGAGACATGTTAACAACCAGGGATTTTACCCTGCAGTTCTTGGAAGTGTGTGCATGGCTCTACGCACTGTGATGCAGGGGACTCTAACAGATTAACAGCCAGAACCACTAACCAGTTAAGACACAATGTTTGGGACCAGCTTTATAGACTTACAAGGAAAAAAAAAACCTCACTCCCAAAGAGAAAGTGTCAGCGTGCCTACAGAAGCATTGGAGACTGGGAGCTTTTTGCCTCTACACTCTGACCTTGTTCTTATTATAGAATTTGCTCCTGTGTATACCAGGATAGGCCAGGATAGCCTGATCTTGGTAGATCTTGGAAGCTAAGCAGCGTAGACCCTGGTTAGTATTCAGATGGGAGACCACCAAGGAATTTGGATGGGAGGCTTCCAAGGAATACTAGGGCAGTGACTCAGGCAGGCAATGGCAAATCACCTCTGAATGTCTCTTGGCATGAAAACCCTACAGCATTCCCATGTCAGCTGTGACTTGACTGTACTTTCCACCACCATACCTTTTGCAGTCTCATCCTAGGTGCTTACTTGCTGATTTAGCATGACTTAGAATAGGCTCCTTGTCCCACGTAAGAGAGGAGGGCGGATTAAACAGGAATAAACAGCCTTGAAAAAGGGATTAGATAGATTCACGGAGGATAAGAGTAAGAGTCCAGTAGCACCTTAAAGACTAACATAGGCCCCGGGCACACAGGCCGGATATCGCGGGGGGGAGGCGTGGCTGTTTGCACCGCAGCAAAATAACGCGCGACTGCGCGATCAGGCGTCCCCTCGCGGTCCCGTCGAGGTCCCGTGGCTAGGGGGGAGGTGCTGATCACACGACGCGCCAAAGAAGCGGTGCAGCACGGCAAACGGGGTTGTGTGTGTGTGGTTTTTTTAACCTGAAGTATGTGCATGCCCCATTGCGTGCTTGTGCGCATCCCTGGAGACTTTTTTTGGGGGGGGAACCTTTTCACAGTGGGGCATGGGCGGGCGCAGGATGCCACCGGAAACGCGATCAGACGCCCGCCCTTGCCCCGCGGTTTCCGGAAACTAGTACCTCCGAGGTACTAGTTTTTAACCGCGCATCTTCGGAGGGAAGCCTCGGGTTCGCCACGAGAGTTCTACGCTTCCCAGATGTGGCGGTGAGATCGCGCCCGGAAAATCCACCTATCTTCCATCGCAGTAGCATGGCTACTGCTCCGTGTGACCGCAGCCAAAATTTGTTATGTATGAGCTTTTGTGAGTCACTGCTCACTTCTTCAAACTCATGAAAGCTCATACCCTGCCACAAATTTTGTTAGTCTTTAAGGTGCCACTGGACTCTTGTAATTTTCTACGGCTACAGACTAACACGGCTTACCCATCTTGATCTTTCTTCATGGAGGATAAGTCCATCAGTGGCTACTAGCCATGATGACTGAGGGGAACCTGTACATTCAGAGGCACGAAGCCTCTGAATCCCAGAGCCGGGAGGCAACATCAAGGGAAGGCCTCAGCCTCTATGCTCTGTTGTTGGCTGTCCAGAGGATAGGGTTGTCAGCCTCCAGATCAGCTCCTCTGAAGAAAATGGCTGCTTTGAAGGGAGGACTCTGTGGCACTGTACCATGCTGAGGCCACTCCCTTCCCCAAACCCCACCCTCTCCTGGATCCACCCCCAAAGTTTCCAGGTATTCTCAGACCCAGACCTGGGATCCCTACCAGAGGAACTGGTTGGGGCACTGTGTGAGACAGGATGCTGGCCTAGATGGACCACTGGTCTGATCCAGCAGGGCTATTGTCTTATGTTCTTAACAGTCTGTTCTTCAGTACATTTGCTTTTCTCCAGTGTCTTCCATCTGACTTAGGAAAGAGGTTTTCACAAGCAAAGTGACTGAACCAAGGGTACAAAGCCCTCCAAAGGAATTTAAACACATGCACACATCTTTCAATAGGGAGTGCACACGGAATCCCCATGCCTTGCCCAACAGGAATCCCCTTGTATCCCAAGGCATGAGGGTTGCCAAACCTCCAGGTTGGGCCTGGAGATCCTGGAATTACAACTGATTCCCAGATGACTGAGATCGGTTCCCTTGGGGGAAACGGCTGCTTTGGAAGGGGGACTCTGTGGCAACATGACTTGCTGAGGCCAGTCTCCTCGACAACCATCACCCCCCCTCCTCAGGCTCTACCCCAAAAATCTCCAGGCATTTCCCAAGAAGATTTGGCTACTCTACAAGGCACTATTTGTCCAAAGGCAAAATAGCGCACACACTTGTGGAGAAAGGGAGTGGTGTCTTTTTTTAAAAAAATGAAGACACTCCATGAAATTGCTGAGCAGTCGGGTTAGAACAGATGAAAGGAAGTACTTCTTCACCCAGAGAGTGATTGACACATGGAATTCACAGCCACAGGAGGTGGTGGCTACAAGCACAGACGGCTTCAAGAGGGAATTGGATAAACATATGGAGCAGAGGTCCATCAGTGGCTATTAGCCACAAGGTATAGGTAGGAACTCTCGCTCTGGGGCAAGGGGTGCACTGTATTCTTGGTGCTTGAGGGGGGACAACAGTGGGAGGGCTTCTAGTGCTCTGGCCCCACTGCTGGACGTCCTGATGGCACCTGGCCACTGTGTGACAGTGTTGGACTGGACGGGCCATTGGCCTGATCCAACACTGGCTTCTCTTCTATGTTCTTCTGCTTGCAGCCCTAGCAAATAACTGAAAAGCATTTGACAGAGTAGCTTTGCTGCAGCTGAGGAGGACTGAATAGGGCTAGTGAGTGTTTCGGGAAGCGTGTCTGGTCTAGATATTTTTGCACAATGTGGTGGTGGTGGTATAACTGTGCAGTGGTAGAATGGGCCGCAGCCCTGACTTGGATGGCCCACGCTAGCTTGATTGCACCGGATCTGCAAAGCTAATCAGGGTCGGCCCTGTTTTGTATTTGGATGGGAGACCACTGAGGACGTCTGGGGTTGCTATGGCAAAACCGCCTCCTGTTCGTCTTGTGCCTTGAAAACCCCAAAGGGTCTCCATAAGCCGGTGGAGTCTTGGCAGCACTTTCTACCACCATCAGAATGGGCTGGACCCCTGTCGGTGTGGGGGGGGTGTCTCACATTTTTCAGTGCTCCTCCCTCTAAAAAAAAAACTCTCAGCAAACAAAAATAGTGCACCAGGTTAAAAGGTTCTGCACTAGTCCTTAACATGCTGTGCTAGTTTGCCAGTTTGGTACAGTGGTTAAGTGCACGGATTCTAATCTGGGAGAACCGGGTTTGATTCCCAGCTCTTCCACACGTAGCTGCAGGTGTGACCTTGGGTCAGTCACAAGTTCTCTCAAGAGGAGTTCTCTCAGAGCTCTCTCAGCCCCACCTACCCCACAGGGTGTCTGTTGTGGGGAGAGGAAGGGAAGGAGACTGTAAGCTGCTCTGAGACTCCAAGTGAAGGGCGGGCTATAAATCCAATCTTTTCTCTCTTCTTCCTTTTTAGGCCAGGAAGGGAAAGTTTGGAAAAGATATGTCCTCACCTGCAATCTGTAGCAGTACATCCTTCCACCTAAGCACTCTGCCTCAACATTACCTTTTCATTCTGCTGCACATATAGGCCAGGCAGAAGTCCTCTTCGGCCCAAACGCGTCAGCTTCCCAGGTCTGCTGAATTCCAATCGGTGCCTCTTTTTAATAATGTTTTCTTGGAAACAAGGTGCCTCGAAATGGGACTTGCTCATACATAAGGCCCCAGAAACGCAAAGACATGCATCTACAAGCCAAAGCATGCATGCACCTGGGATAGCTTACCTGTTCCCTCTGTGGCAGCTCCTCATATAAAACTGAAAAACCACTCTTTAAGCTGGGGAAATGGCGGGTGGCTGTCAGGCCTAGAACCAAAGGAGCAACCAAAGGTTGTTCACTGGCTGCTGTGCTGGCATTCCAACAGTGAGCAGTGTGCATTAGCTTGGAGGACATGTGCATCCACTGAGTTAAGTAATGGAATTATGCCTGCATTTCCCAACAGTCGAATACAGTATTTACCTTCCCCCCCCCAAAACGCAGAAAGTTTTGGCACACCTGGCATAGCAATTCTACTTGTGGAAACCTGTCTCCACACAGAGATTGCACTCACCGGATAAGCATGGTTGTGTTTAGGGTCAAGATGCTGGATGGGTGGTGTCAGATATCCATCCAAGCATCACCGCAAACAGTCAGAAGAGTCGAGCGCTGGGTTGTGCCATTTCAAGCTGCGGGTGAGCAATTGTACATTTCAGAGCTTAAGAAATCCCCCCCCCCCCGACTCAGGGCACTTCCAGGATTCAGTTGCTGTGCTGGTTTGTCTGAGAAGTGAATTCAAGGTGCATTGGAACATGCAGTCTTCTAATGCTCCCTCTAAGCTGTGGAGTCTTGCGAGCAAAAACTCTACTTTGTGAGCTACTGGCATTAAAGTTGTGAGCAAGCGATTTGGCTACTGCAGCAATTAGTTTGCGCTGGAGCCCTCCTTCCTGAGCTAAGACAAAAACGTATGAGCTGGAAGCTAAAAAACTGTGCGCTAGCTCACACGAACTCATCTTAGATGGAACACACACACACTCTTACCCCACACATGCTGGCAACATAAAAAGCAGTACATTCTAAAAATAGCTTCTAGAAATAGAATGGGAGTCTCCTACCCCCTGCCCTCTGATGCATCCTGTGGTGTCCCCAAAGCACTCTCTCTGGGGAGGACTAGGAACAGGCTAGGCGTATTGTGGGGGTTTGCCGTGCGAGTTCAAAGTCACCAAAAATCAGCAAAATCAGCAACTGTTTCTTCTGTTGGTAGAAGTGCCCTTACATGGGAACAAAGGAACTGCTGGATACAGCTCACGGTCATTCAGTCAATAAGCAAAATGCTTGTGTTTTCTCAAGCTCTTTTGTTGTTTTGTTCTGTACTTTTCCTTCCGGAGTTAACATATTTTTTTCACATGGCTTATC